TTAGAATAAAAAGAGAGCAACAGAGTCTTCTATTATTAAGAATGGTATGATCTAAACCAAAATCAAACATGAAAATTCAATGAAATATTAGGAGCTGGCTTTTTTTAAGGGACTTCTAAAATACACAGCTTTTGGAATAACTTTTAAACATCAACTTTGAGCATCTTTTTAAAAACAAGTAGTTATTCTTTGTCTGGTTATGTAAAATTTTTCAGAGTAGTTTTATTTTACTAGGACAAAGCTGGGTGAAATTTGGAATGTTGACATGTGGCAGTAATATGGAATAATAAATGGCAGGTGGGAAAAGGGAAGAAGGAAGATAAAGAATAAATTATAGGAACCACGCCTGCTCCCGACCCAGCAGCCATCGCTCAAGCGCCGGGAAGGTAGCTGCGCTGGCACCCCTGAACCCCCATAAGCTAAGCCCCGACCCCCCCGCACTCTCAGACCTCCTGACTGTGCAAGTCTTTGGACCCACTCTGCAAAGACAGAGGTGGTCATCAAGGGTATTTTTTTGAGTTCCCAACTTTGAACATATTTAAAGAAAGGGCGTGGGAAACCTGTAATAGAACATTGCGGAGTTCAACCATTCAGAAGGATGGGGAACTCAATCTGGGCCTTGCAGCCCGAGGTCAGTCAGTGTCATGGGGTTCAGCAATCAGCTAACTGAGATCAGGGGTCTTGCATCCTTGCTCTGTCTGAGCCATTAAATGGTAAATATACTATATTGAAATTTTTGTTCACTGCAGACATGTTCTGGACTGCTTCTTGATTTCAATTTAATTCAAATGATTTAAGGGTGATAGACTAGTGACTACCACAGGTGGTCAGTGTCCAAGTTGTGCTTGATCTTAATGTGTTGCTGATTGTATCAGTTGGGGTAAAGCATTGCCGTTGAATTGATGAGCTGTTTTCTCTGATGTTATGAAGATGAGAATGTCTGTGGGTCGTTAGAGACACAGAAGCTAGGGTGCAACTATATCAGGAAGATTTGGGTGATAATCCAGAGATTAAACCAAGGACAGTCCGACAACAAAAATTAAAATGAGAAAACACTTAAGCAAGACACAAGGACAGACTTCCAGTTCACCAATGGCAAACAGTAGGGCAAATGAGGATGAAAAGGCCGATAGTGAACCACCAGGACACCCTGAACTCAAAGCACAGGAAGTAACAAAACAGATCAATCAGGCTCTAGAAAAATTCAAAACAGAAATAATTTCCCAGATAACCATAGAGATAGTGAGCAAAATGGAAGTCGTGATTCGAGACTCTAGAGCAGAAACTGACAAAAAAATAGATGAGCTCAGGACCATGATAGAAGCCATGAAGGCCCAGCATAAGAAAGAAATGGAAAAAATAAACGCCCAACATAGGAAAGAAATGGAATCCATAAAACAGATTCAAACAGATATCCAGGAGATTAAACACTCTATTGAAAGTGTACGCAACAGAATAAAAGAATGCGAAGATAGGCTCTCAGATATAGAAGATAAGATTGCAGTCAGTGACCATGAAAAGAGAGGTCTCTTAAAAACAGTAAGAGATCATGAGAAATCGATCCAACAACTCCTAGATGATGCAAAGAAGAATAACATAAGACTGATAGGAATACATGAAGTAGCAGGAGAAAATACAAATGACTTAAAAAAGCTGTTTGCAGAATTAATGACAGAAAACTTCCCAAACAGAGGGGAAGAATTTGACATTCAGATAACTGAGGCATATAGGACCCCAACTAGCTACAATCAAAAAAAATCTACACCTAGACATATAATAATCAAGATCCCAGAAACCCAACAGAAGAACAAAATACTACAAGCAGTAAGAGAAAAGAAACAAATCACATACAAAGGAAAGCCCATCAGAATCACAGCAGACTTTTCAACACAAACCCTTGGGGCAAGGAGAGCCTGGAATGAGATATTTCAAGTACTAAAAGAGAACAACCTCCAACCTAGACTGATGTATCCAGCAAAACTCTCTTTCAAAATGGATGGGGAAATAAGACACTTCCACGACAAAGAACACCTGAGAAACTACATGAATACCAAACCAGCACTACAAGCAATTCTAAACAAGATCCTAGAAAAAGACAATGAAGGCAACAACACCATGAGGCCCAACAGAGCAAATCAAATAGGTAAGGCAAGAAATTAAAAGGAGAAGGTGAAAAAGTAAAAAGAGTCAACAAAAGGCCAATAACATGTCAATAATAAGTCAGTACATATCAGTTATAACCAGCAATGTCAATGGCCTCAACTCACCAATCAAGAGAAATAGACTGACAAAATGGAATAAGAAGTAAAATCCAACAATATGTTGTATACAAGAAACACACCTAGTGCAAAAAGAAGCCCA